AATGAAGAGATGCCCTCACACATATTTACTCAGATCAGAGATCTCTGCCAAATGTCCCAACTGCCAGCCAAGAATGGAAAGTGCCCAGCTCTACACCCAAAGTGAGATGGAGGGGAGCCAGACTGCCAACTCCTGAGCCACAGCCAAGAGGAAAAACACTATTAAATAGGTAAAGCCCAGCACATAGGTACTGGCAGCATGGTTAACATTGGAGGAGCTCACAGGCCAGGTTAGGAAGCAGGCAAATGCACACATCAGTGGCTGATTAGACACGAGCCCTCATTCAGCTCTGCATCTGGTCCCATGAAAATTCATCCTAATTTGGATTAAACCCATGAGCTAAGCTTTTCTGGCAGGTCTCCCTGCAAAATAGTTTGACTTCAATAGAAAACACCATGGAGAAAAACATGGCTTTTCAGCACACTGGTCTTTCTCTTGTAAAGATGCAACAATTTCCCCCCAAACCACGATGGCCAACACTCATAACACGTTCAAGAAAAACTGTTTCTGCCATCTGTTATTTAACTATGGGACAACCTCTGTGCATTTGCTTACACTGCTGAATCTCTTTTCTGGGATGTAAAGGTTACTTAGCTACAGCATGGCAGCTCAGTTCAGTGGTAACCTCCGGATGGAGGAACATCGACGCAGAAGCAGCGTGCTGCTGATGCCAGACCAAGAATAGGCTTCAGTTCCAAAACTATATCATGGTTTATATTAAAATTCCCATCCAATTAACTCCCAAACCTCATGAAAAGTCATCAGTTCACAGTTAATATTGGTCGCAGCCAAGAACAAAGGAACTCATCTGGTCAGGGGCCATGTGAGGACATTTTTTACTACAGAAATGTAAAATCTAAGCAGATGCATCAGTCCCACTGATAGATGAGGAACCGAAACACCAAGATGCAGAGACTGACTTGGGTCTGTAGTGTAAATGGGTGACGTTCTGAAGTCTCAGGCACTTAAGTGCTGCCAGGAGTAGAACATATTTCTCTTCCATACACCAATAAGATTAGCAACAGTAGTAGATTCCCACCTGCAGTTTTCAGAATTCATCAGCTTGTCAAAAGCCAGCTCTGAGATCTGTATCTCTGTAGGACCTCATTTTTTATGATACAATTCCAACCACTTAAAAGGAAAGCGCAAGACACAGACAATACACAGGGAATTGTCTGGAATGAGTTCTGACAGAACATGTCCATAGGATACTACATCAGTGCAATTAGTGTCCTCTTCAGACAGATCAGTATATTTAGTAGAATCAATGAAAATATTCAAAAAACCCCTCTATAATTATAAAAATGATTATTTATTTAATATCACAATGCTCTCACTCTCAATGACATTCTGTAAGCAGAGAATTCTATAAATATACTCTGTGCACATAAAACTTGCACTTTTTCCATTTGTATTTCCATTTCAGGAGGTGATTCCTTATTCCTGTAACTGGGGGTGTAACTAACTGCAATCTAGAGGACTGTGAAAAAAAGAAATGGTCACCCACACTGCAAAATAGAAAAACAATTACACAAAACCAGACAAACACAGCAAAGATTGTAGTTTATAACATGTCAAATGTCAAGCACACAGGGTGAAACAGAAAAAGCTAAAGCCACAAACATCCATGAATAAGTTTAGATCAGAAATAAGAGTAAAACTTTGAACAGACAAGTAGTAAAAAGCAGTACCAGCAGCACATGAACAAGCTTCGGAGGGCTGGCACTGATGTTTTATGAATCAGCTGCCTAAACTAAAGTAGGAGATAGGACAAGATGACACAGACATCCCCTCTAGTCCTAGATCTTCAAGAGTAGCTATCTCTGCTTTACCTAGCAGATCCCTCTTCAAAGCAGGTTTTCTATCCCTTGTGAAACAACAGCTACTACCACAGGAGAGAAACAAGATTTGCTGTTATCAGGGGTGGTAACAGATGAATGAGCACTTGTGGACACAACACATGGCACAGATGTTATTCAAACATACTCCTTACACACTTCAAGGATATTCTATGTATAGAGGTGCCACTATCTATGTATAAAAACTTCTACTTTTTCAGATAAATTCCATCAGACAATACCCATTGCTCAAATTAAGTTTGTAGATCGCTATAAAGTATTATTCTTTTCCATACAGCTGCTAAAATACAACTTACTTCCTTGACAAAAACAACCCCTTACTGAGCCCAGGCAATTAAGCACTAGTAATACTGAATTTCCTTCTAAGGCTCTGCCAAGGATAAATCTCCGCCAGTGTGTATCAGAAAACACAGGAATAAAATCACATACACCCTTAATATACTGTGTCTTCATATCAAACCAAAAGAAAGCATTGAAGGCACCACAAGAGCTGTGTGTAGATAGGATATCTTCTATTCACTGACTCACCAATCTTGCTGTAAGAAAATGCAGGTAAACCCAAAAAGATGTTTTGCAGTTTTTCCATCTTACAGTCATCTTTTTGCTTCTTTTCAAATATTTGTGAAACTCTACAATACTAAAAAGTATCAACATAGGAGAGCTGGAGCCCAACAGTGCTGAAGACTCAGTTTGACCAAATGCATTTTATAGCAAATGAAGCCCACAGGTGTATTCACTACCAGCTGACAGTGATTTCAAAACTATTAACTGCAATAAGAGGGTGATGAAAAAGGTAAAGACTACCCTAAATTGTACCAGAAAGATATAAAAGAGGAAGAGTTGCCAATGCTTTTTTCTAAAACAATGGTGTGTTACACAGCAAAGTGAGTAACTTTGGTCATCCATCTGAAAAACAGGTTAATGTCAGCTAGAATATTCTCTGAGATGGTTTCCTCAAGTGTTTATGTTAGGCAAGATTGTAAAAAAAGTGCCTTCTTTGACCTAAAAAGCAAAGGAAAAGACAATGTATGACAGCACTCTGCAAAGACATCAAGGCTAAACACTAGAGAGGGAGATGAAGTGTCTAAACTAAAGCAAGGCTTTGGCACAAGGACAAAAGGGATTATACCTGCTATGAATACATTCAAAGTGGAACTAGAAAGTGTCTAGCCATCAGAGCTGAGTATGGTGTAGCCTCACAGTGGGAATAACATAAGGAAAATAACCTAATTAGTTTTAAGAGGGAGATTGGAAAGTTTAAGAATGTCTCAACAGCAGGGGACTGGATTTGGGAAGTGCCTTTTAGTCCTATGTTCAAGGAGGAAGACTGATCAGAGAAACAACCAGAACCTGTCTCTGCATAAATTCCCTTTCAGAAGCATTCTTGCGAATCACTCTCATCAGGTTTAATTTTTCACACCTTTAGTTCACAAACATCATCACAGATTCCTGCAACTGCCAGATACCTGTGTGTACCTGACTATAGGTTGATATCTGGAGTTATTAACTGAGCCTCTATTTTGCCACTGATATACTTCAGCCACTCTTAATAGGGATAAGAAGCACTGTAGCAATAATATGGCAGGAAAAGTGAACAGGATTTGGGGTGGGTTTGGACACCCATCCAGGTGTTAGCACGCAAAGTGACACATACTATAACTGTAGTAAATCTGGTATAAAACTTGAACTAAACTATTTGTAAATATTATTGTTTTTCTTCCATGTACCATCCCTTCACAATGATGCAAATGCAATTTTAAGGCCATTTCTACATAAAAATGGGTTAAACCAGAAAAAAAAAGTTCGTTGGGCTTTTTTTAATTTATTTTATTCTGAAGAATTTGCTTAATCACTGTCATTGAAACAAGAAACATCATAGAAATTACAAAAGAAAATATAGGTACAAAGAACATACGGGAATTAACAGACTTCAATACACTTCAGTGTGTTCCCAAAATGCCAGAAAAGAGCTGCTATGACATGCAAAGTGAAATCGTATCTTCACTGAAGCAATACTGTAGTCTTGATAAACATTTCACCCTGGAACTGTATTCCCAATTAAAGAGGTGCATCATTAACTACAACAAGTAGTAAGAGCTCTGAGAGGGGTTGCCTCAGATGAACAGGAAAAGAATTAGCAGATGATTGTCACTTTGTTTTTCTTTTACACTACATATGGATGAGTGATTGCTACTATGACTTGAACCTCTTCCATCACCATGTGTGACATCTATGCATGATTTTGCAAAATTAGATCTTTCTCTCCTACACCAACAGCATTTTTCTTTCCTCGAAAATCACCCAAAGGTTGTCTCCCCAGGGCTCTGATTTGGTGGTCTTTTACCCACGTACCACCTTTTACTTCCCAGCATATCAACCTTGGTAGTGTGAGTTGACCTGAACTCCTCGAGCTCAGAAAGCCAAGCACTGTCAACCCTCCAGCCAACACGACCAACATACCAGCTGTGCAGACACAACAATGGAGTGACCAGAGGCTCTCTTCGTAATTGCTTTTCATTACCAAGAGTGTGCCCACACCCCTCCCAGCACTTCTCAGAGGCACAGGGCACGCCTGAGTGTGCAGAGCTCTGCCAAAAGGAAGCAGAGACAGAGCCACACGCATTGTGCCAGGCAAAGGGCCCTGTCTGGGAGCAGCCATGAGCCAGCAATGCTGCTCCCATATCCACGTCCACACAAAGTGGGAAGGAGCCATGCCCACTCATTGTCCCTCATAGAACCCCAGTTGGAAGGGATCTCTGGAGATCATCTTGTCCAATCCCCCTTTCAAGGCTGGGTCACCTGGAGCAGGTGACACAGGAAGGCGTCCAGGTGGGGTCTGAATGTCTCCAGAGAGGGAAACTTCCAGGACCATCCTGGGAAGCCTATTCCGGTGCTCTAACACTCTCAATGTAAAGTTCTTCCTCATGCTGCGGTGAAACTTCTTATGTTCTAGTTTATGGCCATTGCTCCTTGTCCTGTCGCTGGGCACCACCGAAAAGAGTCTTTCACCATCCTCTTCGCACCCGCCTTTGACATACTCATATGCATGAGATCCCCTCAGTCTTCTGTTCTCCAGAGGAAACAGCCCAGCTCCCTCAGTCTCTCCTAAGAGATGTCCCAGACCCCTGATCATCTCCCTAGATGTGCTGTTCAGAGATACTCAACCCTCCTCTCCGCCCCTGTCCCTACAGACGAGCTGCGGAGACGGCCCGGGGAGACACGGGGGGCACCTCTTGCTCAGGGCACCCCTTCTCTTCACCCGCTGCAGGCTCCTGTGCACCTGCCTCAGCCCATCCGGGGCCGGGCGGGCACCTCCAGCTGCCCCCAGGCCCTCGAGCCGAGGATGGGGAGCGGGGCAGCCGGCCCTTCACGAGGAACCCCCCGCCATGGCCGCGCGGCGGGGCGCGGCGGGTGATGACCCATCTTGGGCAGCCCCGCGATGGCGGCCGGGCTGAGCCCGCGGCCCCGGAGGGCGCTGCTGGGGTCGGGGGGCACCCGCGGGGCGTTTGCGCCTCGTACGGGGCAGCTGGGGTCCTGAGGCTCCTCCAACCTCCCCGCCCGCCCCAGCGCCTCTCCTGTCCCGGCTTCACCCGCCTGCCCCAGGCCCTTCCCGGGGCGGCGGGGCTTGCCTGGGCTGTGCCCTGCGGCGGCCCCGCGGTGACAGAGAGGCCAGAGCCGGCCAGGGAGCTGCACTGGGCCTTGGCGCGTGTTGGGTGTGTGTCACAGGGCTCGTGTTTTCTTGTTAGCCAGCAGATCCCCCCCTACACTCCGTACAGCCATGGAGGAGAGGGGTTGGCATCTGAAGGAGGTGGGTTATCAGAGCAGTTACCAAATGTACGGTGTTGAGCTGGGGTTTAAACAGAGAGACCCAAGGCACTGTGGGCGTGGAGTGTGAGGCCTTTTTAAAACACCTCTGTTGGAAAAAACATAAGGCAGGAGGTGGCAATAGTTTAACTTGGCATAGCTGCCAGTCTACCTGCAGCAATCTAGAAAAATACACCAGGAATAAAAGACTGCAAGGCAAATAGCCCTCTTGATTTTTTTGTCCCTGAACCTTGCTCAGCACTGAGTGTCCTCCAGGGGAGAAATGAAAGATCATCCCATATGCTGGCATGGCCTAACCCTGGCCCAGCGTCACCCTGTGCCTCGTGTCTGCAGACAGGTTGGGTTACCGCCTGGAATAGCCCTTGACATCACGGCAGGGGCAGGATCCTGATGGAACAACTGCTCTGCAGTTGACTTTATTTCCACCATCCTATGTTCTATTCGAAGACAGACCCTCAGTGAAGAGTTTTGTTTTGATTTTTTTTTCTTCCGGGAAAAACTCAAGACTGTCCATAGATTTTGATTGCTGTGAAAATCTATGTGAATTAAAGGCAGCTATATGGAGGCAATCTCTGCCTTTCACACACACACACCTGTGTATGGCTTTTGCAACATTAGCCTTTATGATAGTAAATCTTACACCACTGTCACAGCATTTATGTCCTGAGATCTTCTGGAAGCCTGGGGCTTGGCAGAAAACATTCCCAATATAGTGAGACATTTGCTGGAACTTATCACAGCAGATTGTGTTGTTCTCAAATCTGAATTTTCTTCGTCAGAACTGTCCACAGAAGTGCTCTGAATCATATTTGTTTCTACACACCTCTGGGAAGCTGGGCAAAACCCACTCCCTCAGCCAGGCATGTTGGACAAACTTGTTTCTTCCTGCTGGATTTTACAACCACAAACAAGGCTTGAAAACAAAACAAAACAAATCAAAAAACTCACCAGCAACACCAGCAGCCCTGCTCTGAACATGTGGGATGCTTCCCTGGATCCCTGTTCATTTCCTGGAGTGAAACTCAGACACACCAGTTCACTGCTGTCCTGAAGTGTGTGGAAGCTTTTTTTTCCCTCTCCCTCCTTTTCTTTTCCCTCCTTCCTTGTGTTGATTTGTGGGACCAGAATGACTTTGATTTCAGCAAGTTTGCTGTTTATTCACGTCACAAGTTTGACAGCTTTACACCAAATCAGATTGCTGGGTTTCAGGAGAGCTCTGAGGCGTCACTGGGAGCTCCTTTAGATTAAACTCGCCTCCCCGGTCTCCCCCCTCTCCCCCTCCTTCAGAGCCTTTTAAACCTCTCTGGGGCTTTAACAGAAACGTGCTCCCAAGACCTGCATTTCATTCTGCCACTAATATGGTAAGTGCTCTTTGCATTTCTCTCGACCTCGAGGCAGAAAAACAGAAGCTGGTCTCTTTGCCTTGGGGGCTTGCAGTACATTTTGTGCCCACTTTAAGATGGGGAAAAAAGAGGGCTCTCCTCCACCTGCAAGAGCAGTCTCTGCTGCTGTGCCTTCCCATGGGTGAGCAGATTCCCTCTTTGAGGCTCCAAGCTCTGCCTTGCCTTGCAGATATTTAGAGCTGCTGCAGATAGGGCTTATTTGGAGGAGTGGAAAAGGGTGAATCCAGAGCCAACCCCAGGCTCTGCGGTCTGGGACTCCTGTAGAACTGCAGGGGCAGAAGAGAGTGCGAGCAGCCTGGAGGTGACTCTGCAGGCTTTGTGCTGCTGCTTTAGAGCTGAATCAAACCTCCAAAGTGGCAGGAACGGTCTGGCCAAAGACAGCCTGGGACCTCCCTTCACCCTAAACCCACTCAGCACCGTAGTATTTTCCAAAGGATCGTAGGAAACTCAGCTACCTCCCTGGCACAGCTCTGCTCGGAGCCCCTGTGCCGCCGGGGGCTGCGGCGGGGCGGCTCTGTCCGCGCTCAGCGGAGGGAGCGGGGCCGTGCGGGGCCCCCGGGCGGGCAGAAAACAAAAGGGGGGAGCGGGCACCCGGGTCAGGACTGGGAGCGCCCACGGGAGCAGGCGGCGCCTGCCCCGGGACAGGCACCTGAGCACAGCCCGGCCAGGACAGGAGCGAGGGGAGCGCTCGCCGGGGCCAGGCTGACACCGCCTCCCTCGGGGGCTGGGGAGGGGGCACCGCCGTCCCCGGCCAGCGCCCCATCGCTCGGCCCCTTTCTCTCCGCAGAGCACCGGCCGGCCGTGCCCGGAGCCGGACTTCGCCGGGGCCCGGGCTGCGCCCTGCCCCTGGTCCGCCCCCGCCGGTGTTCCAAGGAGACCTGGGCCGCCGTCTGCGCCGCGGAGCCGCCGCACAGCCAGGGCCGGCGGGAGGCTGGCTGAGCCCGGGTGAGTGCGCTCCCGGGAGCGGGGCTCCCGCCGCCGGGCAGGGCGAGGGAGCGGGAGCGGAGCGGGCTAACCCCGGCTCTGCTCCCCCAGGCCAGTTCTGCAGCCCGCAGCTCGGTGCCCAGGACGCGGCGTGGCAGGGAGACCAGCTCTCCTCCCAGCTCTACAGAAACAAGCAGGTAAAGGCTCCGCGCCGCCCCGGCAACGCGGGTTTCACCCCACGAGGTTCCTGAACTTTGTATCCTGTATCGCACCTTCTGGGTTGGTTTGTGACGTATCTCCCTCTCGCTTGCACAGTTGTGGGAAGTGACAGAAAACCGCTTTATTTGTTGTTCCTTGCTTGAAGTATTTGTCTCCCCTGTGTTGCCCTGTGAGGTTGGAACAGCTGTTGTGGGGTTCCCTATGCATCCCTCCTCTCTTGCATATTGCACCTTGGCACTAGAGAAGACCAGGAGCATGACCAGGAGGTCCCTTGGGCTCTGATGGTGCTGTTGTCCAAAAATATGTAGTGTATCCTCCTGATTCAACCAGGTTTAACTTCATGAGAAATGATTCCACTAGAATTACCTAATTCCATGGAGGATTAGCCATTTTGACCATCAAGGATTTCCTGGTTATTTTATTTTCTCTCATTTTTCCTTTTTTATAATTCCCAACAAGGAGCAGGAGAGACTGAACAATCCTAGATGAAGGAACTCCAGACTGATGACTCTGATCAAGAACTTGGAATGATGTTTTGACACAGTGAAGTCAATGAAAAGTCATTAACTTAATCATCAACCCTAGTTCTAGATGCCAGTGTACTTCTTTCTTTGGCTCTACCTCAGTCATTTGAGGCTGGTGCTTCACAGCCTCTGCTCAGCAGATGCCTGGGGTCCTTAGCAGGAGATCCTTTGTCCTCCTAAAGAAGTCGCCCGATCTGTGATCAGAGGGCAAAAATCTGTCTGCAAACACGTAGATTTCCCATGAAAAAGGGTTAGGCACCTACCATTCCTGTTCAGCTCTAGGGAGCTGGAATTAGCTCTGTATATGTACCAGGACTAGCACAGTAGGGTCCAGAATTGAAGGGATAACTGCATCCTACTGTATCATAAAGAATGGCAACTGTATCTTCCCTCTGCACTCTACTCCCATAAATTGTTAGTCTGCAACTCCTCCTCCTTTCTTCTCACCAGCCAACTATAAAGGAGAATGAGGGATGCAAAGGGATGTTTACTGCCACTCAGAAGGAGATCCTGCACCTGCTGTCATGCCCATGACGGTTTCTGGCTGCTCACAGGACTACCTGTAATTCTCTTTTCTATTATTATTCTGTGGTTACAGGTTTTTTCAAAGTAATCTTCTCAAATACTCACTAAAGATTAAAGGAAGTTAAAAGTGAAAACTGAACATTCATGCCACTTAGATTTATAGAGACAAGAGGCTGGAGGGGGTGTGTTGAGCTCACAAAGCAAACACCCACATCATCAAATCCAAGCAGCCTGTACCATAGGGCAGTTGCTATTAAGTTACAGAGTCAACATCTATTCATCAGTATCTCTATTCCACAGCTTCAAGATACTTTGCTTCAGAAGGAAGAGGAACTTGCTAGGTTACATGAAGAAAATAATAACCTGCGACAGTACCTGAATTCTGCCCTGATTAAGTGTTTAGAAGAAAAAGCCAAGGTATTGTGTTCAAACGTGTTGTGTAGATGTGTGCAGAAGGAACAGGTTAAATAGGTACAGGCCATTAAAATATATAGAAAATCAAAGAGTGCAGACAACCAACAGTGTGAGATTTAACTTCACAGAGCTGCCAAATTGCTGGTCATGGATCTAAGGTGACAGTTTCCTCCAGGAATGATAGCCTGTAAGTTTTGACTGTGGAGACAGTATAGCCCATGGCATAATTTAATTTATTAGTTATAAGTAAGGGTTATAAGCAAGGTAAAATTATTCCATCTAATGCCTTTTTTCAGTAAAATGATCAAGTTTGAATACATATTTCTTTAATGTACCTGTTTTGTCAATTATCCCTTTAATAAAGATTGTTTCCTTTTTTATGGGTTTTTTTTGTGATTTCTGGTTTATGTTTTGTTTTGTTTGATTTTCCAGTGATATGTTTTTATTAGTTTACATTAGAATAGTGAGCTATATTTTTTCCAATTTATTAATTAAAAAGTTATGTGGCATTTTTGTAAAGGTAAAATACAAAATGAAACATTTCACGTTGGATGAAACATTCTGTTAGACTAAGTATGGAGGAATTTTTTAAATATTTGGATTCTTTGTCTCTCATCTTAAAAAAAAATAAAGATATTTGTTCCTTGTCAGCTTAATGACATTTTTTATTATTCCAGTCAGTTATTCAGTAGTAACCATCTTCTAAACCAACACCTAAAATCTGAGGTCAGAAACATGTTTCTTTCAGGTATCTATAAAATCAGATTTTAATCTTCTCTCTCTACCTTTTTGTTTGTTTGTTTGTTTGTTTTAATAGAAACTGCTATCCTGCCATGGACAGAAAACCTGTGCTATTCTCAAAAGTGCCAAGAGGAGATTAAAAGAGGACCATTGCTTTGTTCCTCAAGAAACTCCTCATGCTTCCAAAGCTAGAAGGAACCTCTTGGATGAATTCACTGCCTGTGAAGAGCAGGCCAGCCCTACCGTGGACAACTGGGTCTTGCAGACCTTAGGATTAAAAGATGTCAACACCATTGATGAAGCTTCAGCTAACTACAGTGCCCTGTCCTCAGACCTTGGAAAAGACACGTACTGCCTGAGCCCTGGTGAGGCAATAGGCTATGAGCACAGTGAAGGAGCAGCAGCAGCGTTTAGCTGCAGCCACGTGCCTCCAGCTGACAGCAGTGCCCATCCATGCAGTGAGGACTCTCCCTTCCTTCCTCAGTTTCCTTCAGCACCATGCATCTCCTCAGCAGTACCTAGTGTTTCCTCCCTCCCAGCATATGGGTTGCCTTATTTGCCTGGTGATTTGTCACCCAACAAGACTGAAGTGGCCTTCACAACTTCTCTAAGTCCCCACCGCAATGTGAGAACACACACCTTCCACCAAGGACAAGCCTTTGTGCGCAGGGATGACGACGGAGGATGGAGATTCACCTGGGTGCCCAAGCAGGCTGAATAATGCACCTGGATCAAGGGTCAGCCATAGGGGGGGTAGGAGACACATTTCACCTTGTGCATGAGACAGGTTCAGGTCTAAAAAATGAACCCTTCTGGGCTTTGTTAAATGCTACTCTGTCACTTACCCGCTCCTTATTCCCTCCCAGATTTTCACAGGTGTGACTCCAGATTGCACTTGGACAATTATCTGCCCCAGGCCAGATGTACAAATTGGATTCCCTTGTCTTGTGTCTGTGTTGAGATACCTGCTTTTACTTGCTTCCTGGTTTTTCTATCATCAACTATTCCTTGTTACTGGTAGTTTCCAGGCTGGAGTGCTTTCAGCTTTGATGATCACTCTCGCATGCACCAACCTGGAAAGAATTTTGGGTTACAGTTGGAAAATAGCACCTCTCTCATAGATAACCATGGATAACAAAGGAGGCATAGGTTGGAGACTGGGGATCAGCAGTTTCTAAGTGATTTGTGTCTGTCTTGACTGCACAGATTGCCTTGGATTTAAGTACCCATGGTTGCCTTATGTGCTACACAAGGCTGACCTATCTGCAGATCCATGGTGCTGTCACATTCTTTGATGATGCCTCAAAATAAACAGGGTTTGCTTCTGTTACCTGGAGGCTACTTAATTACAAGTGATTCAGCGAGTTCAGGGGATCTTTCTAAGGTGTGATTAAGAGACTAATATGTTTACTAATATGTTTTAAAGGTATTTTGTTGGTTAGATAAAGGGAGTTTACCTTTAGGGAGGCAGTATCAGTGGTTGGAGTGAGTCTTTGGGAACCACAGCCTTCTTACCTTTCCATGTCTCTGCCAGGGAGTGGTGGGCTCAAGGTAAGACCATCACTACCTTGAGAATGCTTTAAAACTCTCTGAAGAGAAGGTGCTCTAGCACTGCACAGAACTTGACTTTTAGTAATGCTACTAATGATATGAAGTCAACAGATATGAAGGAAGCTCACCAGTACTGTTTTGTGTTACCTTTGTTTTCTGATTTACAGTAATTTGGTGCCTAAGTATTCAAGATAGATTGATTTGGTTATTCATGCTTTCAGAATGGTGTCAGTGACATTAAGGACTTAAGTAAAAAATAACCTTAACTGAGAATTTCCTTCCAGTGGCTTATTTTCATATAGAAAAATGGATATTCCTTTATTTTTATCTCCTAAATAGCCTGTTGTGCCTTAGAATATGTGACATACTCCATCAGGAGCAGTGATGATTTTCCAAAAGACTTTTAAATAAACAAACTCCTTATTTCTGGGTAGTTACTTTAAAGTAACTGTGGCAGATTTCCAGAATAGGCAATTAGAAAACACTGATTGTAGACATTATTGCACTGGGTTAAAAAACAACCAACCAAAAAATAAAACCAAACCAACCACAAACCCACACAACAACCACCACAAAAGAAAACCACAAAAAAAAACCAACAAAAAAACCTCAAACCCCAAAACAAAAAATGCACATGGAATAAATACAAAGTCTTTGTTCGGGAAGTTTGTTGTAGTCCATAAAATTATGGCCAGCTGATGAAGACTAGTCAGATAAGACCACTGTTTCTGTAGCACTTTTCTGCTTTTCAGTGAAAGCAGAAGAAAAATCCTGTCCTACAAACAACTCATTTCTTTCTCAAGACGTTTCATTTCTATTAATCTCCTCTTGCTCCACTATATAAGATAACATTGAAGAAAATACTCCTGTCACTGGAGTTTTTATTGGGGTGTGTGTGGTAGTGTAGAAAATACATGACCTTAACATGAGTGTGTGATGAGACACCCTGGTATATGTGATGTGGGAGATGCTGGGAATAGACAGTGTGGCTAGAGGATTACACTGAATTGCAGCTGTAGGTGTCACATCTTTTAAAACAGCTGTAAAACATAGGTAGAGAAACATCTGTCTGTGTTTTCTAACACTGTTGAATGATATTACTTAACACATTTCAATGCTATGGAGACAGCAGTAGTAATAAGTACATTTGTCCTGTCAACAAATATTGAATCATTTTTTTCTCTGAAGAGAGAGAAAACCTTTTCATTTGTTTGACATTTCCTTTCCACACTTTTATATCACTCCTACAGACAGACAGGACAAAAGTGTCAGATCTTTGGTACAATCTTGAAGTAGGGTTTCAGAGGGAACAAACGGATGCTTCAGCCTTTGCCAGCCTTTTGTAAAGGGGTGATTGTCCCCTTGTCTCATAGCAAATAGGTTATGGATGTAAGGGAATGATGTACGTGAATGAATCCTCTTTTCCTGTGGGTTCCTGAATTTTACTCTCTATGAAGGAGTGGAGTCCTGTAGGAGAGATTTCTGTCTGAGCCTGTTTTTTTGGGGGTAGAGGATCCAGTGATGCTGCTCCTGTCAATTCCTGGGTGCTCCTGACCTACACGTGCAAACTTAAAATTCTGATGTAGACAACTGCTTGAGCAAAGGTCTATGTTAATAATGCTGCTGATCACTGGAGCAGAGGGAGCACACTGGAAAGGAAACAGAAGAATCTCCAAAGCATTTTAACATATAACTAAAGGTAATTTTTTTTCCCTGATAGCACCACCTGAACTAGTATTTCCTGAGTTATTGTGAAGAACAATAAAAACAAGCTACTCTGTGTCTAAAACCAACCCACAACAGCCCAGTGACTGAACCCTTCCTTTAGATAAATACTGCTCCTATTGCCAAAAGCAAGCCATGACTCAGCATTACCTCACTCTAGACTGCCTGGTTCTTCTGAAGATCCTGCATTCCTGCAGGTATAATAGATGAGGAAAATTAATAAGAGGCTGAAGACATCTCATGGCAGATTACTTTCAAAGGGTAGGATATGAGGACAGTTACTGACTGGGCTGGTGCTGGTTTGACATGTTGGTTTGACCTCCTGTGTCCCCGTGATTTCCTTGGGCCTGAAAGCAATGAAGCTGCATTAATGTGGTTCTGCTTCCATTTATGTGCTTTTACCTCTTGGTAGGGTTCATGACCTTCAGTGCAGGCTGAGGCTGCAGCAGCAACACTGCTACCAACTTGATATAAGCAAGTCTGAATCCCACTCCTCAACACGTAGGCACACTTTGTAGATGTTCCTTAGATAGAAATTATGAAAATAAGCCATAGAAATGGAGGCTAACACACCATCTTTTCCCTCATGAGATAAAATTCTGGAAAATGCTTGCTTGACTTTGATTAGTGTCCAGTTTGTGTTACAGTTCTTTGGCCTGCAAATATGTGGGAGGGAAGGTCTTGCCTGTACGAAGTCTATATGGGACTTTGAAATGGGTGTTCAGTCTTGCCTTGTGCCTGGTCCTCCCTGTTTGTTCTTTTGTATCCATTCCCAATGGGTGAAACAGTCAAAGCCACCCTGCTGCTCATGAAATGTGGGAGTTAAACCCCAGGGAAGTCTGTGACACATTCCTGTGCCCCAGAGGCAGTGAGAAATCAGTAGGGATGAAAGCAAAAAGTGGAAACAAAATCCAGTTCTTCACGCAGCCATCACAACTAGATAGCCAGGAGATAGCAGAAACAAGTTTCAGCTTGGTACTGTACTTCTAACTCCAAAAAAAATCAGGCAGCTGGAATAGAGAGGTAGGAGACAGAAGTTCTGGGTTCTGTTACTGCCTCTGGTATTACACTTAGTTTCTGAGCTTTGGTTTCATGGAATCCACCATCAGACCAGCTCATAGCTATTTAACAAAACATGATTCTTGCTGCTGCAAACTCCATGAGAAGTTCCCTTTTGCCAAGGGTAAGTACCAGGCCCATACAACTCTGGGAATGGCCATGGGGCCCTAGGAGATTCTTTGAGCAGCAGTGAACTTCATTGTCTGTAAATATCTGTCTTGCATTAACATAATTTGTTTTATTTTTTTATTTGAAGTTTGTTTTCCTTATTATGTGAATGTAACGTGCAGCAGCACACTTTTAAAAAAAAGTGTTTCTAGAAAGGTATACTAACAGAAATGGAAATTAATTTAACATTTAATATGTTGATGTTCATGATTTTTGTGATTGACAAAGGCCATAAGTATATGTAAATGTCAATTTTACCAGTGTCACTAAGTTATGTCTAATAAAACTTAACAACTAATTGATGCAATTCTTTCTGCCCACTTTACATCCATTAAACCATGCAGCTGTTGCTCACACTGCACAGCACCACACCTGGCACCTACACACCTCTCCAGAGGACTGAAAGGAAACTTTTTATTTCCTGCAAGCACAAGTGTCCACACAAGGACATACAAATTTTTTTATGATAACAGACCTAAATATATTAATAGCCACAGGTGTGCTCATTTCAGTCTGGGCTTGCACAGGACATTGCTGTGATCCGTCATTGCTTTCACTCAGATGCCATGCTACAAAATGGTGAGGAGAGAGGGAAGTATTGTGCTTTTTGTCTGTTATTTTTGCAGCATCTGGCACTCTCATTTAATAGACTTACACCTTCTTTCTTAGTCAGCTGAACATCCTGATCCAGGGCAACCTGATTCATCATAGTACTCTGAGTACTCCTGATTCTGACTCTGAAATTATGAATTGTAAGATGGTACTGAGGTGTCACGTAAAGAGATTGAAGATGAGAGAGAAAAGTGTGAGCAAAGAATTCAAAACTCTAGTCAGCTCTACTTGACAACAAAGTAAAACTGTGTTAGTTATTAACTTTCCCTTCTGATCATGGGCAGGTTTGTTAGTAACCATGCACCAGCTGGGGCGAGAGAGATTTTTCATTGGAATGGAGATTGCATATTGCTTATGAAAAGATACAAAGTGAGCTTTCCTTTATCTCTTTTGCCCTCATCTAGAAGCCACAATAAGTCCATGAGATGATTCATAAACACAATGGCCTGTTGCCAGGTAGCTGACATCCTGTCATAAAGAGGGAGCAGTCTATAAATAATTTGTGGAATGAGCTGTGATTCACCTAAAATGCTATCTCTCTAGTCATTTCTCTGCTTCATTACTTGTGCATCACTGAATTATTTCAAGGCTAAATACTTAGACGCAGTGCAGCCCAGGGAAATCAGTATAATAATGATGCACGAGGAACAGATAATAAAAATCAACATAAGCATGAAGAGCTGGGACTTCTGAGGTCCCCATTTCCCCTAATTTATTTTTAAAAATCTCAAGCTGTAGCTATAATACTGATGTGGTGAAATTTCCAACAACTACTGCCTCAGAAGCTGTTACTAGGCAAAGATCACTCTAACTATTCATTTACTAACCGATATTTGAATGTATAACATCTTCCACCATGACATTATTCCCTGTTAGTGATCACAGACCACGAGGTCAGGAACTGGGAGTTAAGTGATGCTTTCAGAGACATCAAATATGTCACTAGATGAGCTGGGATGCAGGCCAGGAATCCTAGCTTCCAGCGGTGCAGAATGAAGGCCTAACAGCACATTAGAGAGTGCAAACGTGCTGTCAGCGCCCAGCTGTGCCCCCCAAGCCCCAGCTGTGCCCCCCAAGCCCCAGCTGTGCAGATCGCAGCAGCCAGGCAGCCGAAGCCCCAGCGGTGCAGCTGCACACCCAGAGGTGTAGAGGGAAGTTGATTTCCACAGTGGGGCTGAGGCTCCAAGGCTTTCACAGCTGGGGGTGTTTCACTCCCCGTCTGTGCAGACGCGGTGCCCGCGGAGCACCTCCCGGCCCCGGCGGGGACCCGCCCGCAGCCGCAGCCCTGGCCAGGGTCCTGAAACGACCGCGCTGCTCGGCCCGGGGTGCGAGAGCATCAGGGTGAGACAGAGTCCCCACCAGAGAGAGACCCGTAATAGCGGACCCAAACGTTGTGCGACCCACCCGAGATAAGGTGGAGCGGCCCCGAGCAGTTACCAGTGCTCGAAGGACCCCGTCGCACCTGATGGCGTTTGGTTAGAAAAATGAGCTTTCTTTGATCTCGGGGTAATCTTTACCTGATAACGTGACTGGGGTCAGAAAACCAGGCAGAAATACTATGTTCACCGGGTTACATCCTTGGTAAGCATAATTGACACTTTACAGGTACAACCAGTGCTGGGCTCCTCTGCCCAGGCTGTGAGGTAGCTGAGGAGCAGGCAGGGTCATTTCAGAGTATCCTACCACATACCACCACATGTAGAGAAAGTGTCCACCAGAAAGCTCCCCTTACCATTGTTATGAACTGCAGTTTATCCTGGATACAGGCAATTTCAAATAGTGATGAAAAAAAGGAAAATCTGTGTTGATAGAAAGCTTCTATGCAGACTTTGATTTTAAGAAAAGTTGACATCTCTTTTCATTATAGAACCAGACAGTTCCAAGACACAAGCAACTTCTCTTTATAAGAAATACACACTTTTGTCCAGACCTAGACACAATCCTCACCTGACAACAGTGTAACCCAGGTTAGCTCATTCCCAAGCTCTGAATACTCCTGTAAAACAAGAATCCAGCTCAGCAATATTCACACTTGGTTGTAACTGTTGCATCTGCTTTGAATTCCAGTTCCCTCACTTGGACACAGAATTAAACAGAACAAGTAGGAATGACAGGATTCCTTCTTGCTTCAGGAAACGGGGCTAATTTTGTTTACCTGTGGGTCATGAAATATTTAGTGATAGCTTTCTGCAAGTGAATGGAGAAATCCTGATTTAATATTGGTAAGTACTGTTCAAACCTGCCAGCTCCAGTTTCCTTCAGAGAGTGATATTAGTCTGGTATTTTTCCTTCCCTTCTTACCTGAAGCAAACAGTCACACTGCTGTTTGAAAGATGTTATGTTCCTCCATTACAATTGCTTCATTTCAACAAAAATGATTTTCTGAACTAGATGGGTCATTTTTACAGTCTGTAAAAATTGCACTAAGCTACTGAAATCAACATGACTTAGTCCGACCCCTGAGGACAAAATGGAGCTGAAAGAGCTTTAAATTTCTTCTTAGTAAAAGACCTTTTATCAAAATGAAATATCATTACCTCAGTGGCCCTGTGACCATTTCAGAGGTATATAAACATTTGCTACCTATCTGTTAGCCATTCAATTACTAAGATCTTGATACTGTGTAAATATTTAACTACAATAGGGAATATAAATCAGAGAAAGTGATTCTGT